GCCACCAGGGAGGGCCGGAGTCTAAATCTCTTAAAGTGAGTGCTAAGCCTGCCTTCCCTCTCTGGAAGGAAACGCTGTCTCTGTGTTCCAGGATGGCCCACTGTTTGAGGCGGCCTGGAAAAAAGTCAGCAGCTCTGCATCCAAGCCACACAGACAGAGACAGAATATTTCTTCCAACACTGGGCTAAAAGCCGTTCCTTTCAATTTAACTCCAGTTTTAGTTTTGTAACAACTGAATGAATACCAAACTCTCAAAGTTAGAGGAAGGGTGTTTGAATTTTAAGCCAAGGGCCTATTGACAACTTGGCAGTGGCTGGATCGCAGTCCCTAGGGCCACACCTCAGACTCCAAACCCCAAGGCCATGCATAGCCAGACTTTAGTCTCAGGACAAATCCAACTTCTACTCAGATCCACTCCTCCATAACCAAACTCCAAGCAGCCTCAACACAGGCTACACACAAAACCATGTCAGCGACGCTGGCTAATTTACCACAACCCATCTGACAGAGAACTTTTGGCCTCGGCATTACTTATGAGGGAATCTAATGTCCAGAGGAGGTCTACGATCAACTGAGATCACACAAGAAATTAGTGGCACTAACAGTTGAACCCAGAAATTCCCTGCTGTGGCCCTGTGTCTACTGGTGGGGTCACCTGGCAGCTCTCTCAGCCAGGAGCCCACTGCCCCTTAGACCTTTTCCATGCACAGTGGCCTGGGCTTTTCAGTCAACCTTAGAGGATCGCAGTGGTTGGTAACGGGGTTGACCCAGCACATGGGGAAAAGAAGGACATTTTCCTTCATGGGAGAAGGGGCTGATGCCTGATGGAACCCAGAGGCAGCAGAGGCCTCTCCATCACCTTGGCTCTCCCTGCATCAGCATGAGGCTGGAATAGGAGTCCCTAGGGGAGCACATTAGGGGGAGCCCAGAAAGGAGGGGGGGCTGGCGCACCTGCCCTATTCCCACCCCTTGACTCTACCCTAACCGCATCCCTCAAGCTAAGGACTCCACCTGTGGCTTGGCGTTAGCTGCGGCTTTCAAGAGGAGGGAGGCCATCCCTGATCCCTTTGCTTGGGAAGGTTGTCTGCAAGGGCCTGCCCCTGGCCACTTTCTCTAGGGACATGAACCAGACATGGCCCTACCCTTTCAGAACCCCCAGTCTTGTGGCGATACAGCTTCTGACCGCAACAGTGTTATTGTGCTAAGCCAAGGGATGTCTCAGGTACCGTGGGAACCCGGAGGAGATGATAACACTACACCTGGGTTTTGAGGGATGTGAAGGAGTCTGTCAGACAGAGGAGAAATGAGGGCATTCTGTGGCGCAGGAGGCTTCCCTGTGCTCCAGCACCTGTCAACACTTCCAACACAGTGTTTCTCAAACTATCTGTGGCAAAAGACCTGTTGTTTAAAAATCTATCAAAGACCAATACTTTGGTAAAAAATACTTTGAAAAATACTACTAGGAACATCAAATGAGGGCCCTCCCTGGTGGCACAATGGGTTAAAGCGCAGCACTGTGAAGCTTTCCACAGCCACCACAGCACAAGTTCGATCTCCAGCCAGGGAGTGATCCACATGGTACAGACCTCTCCTGTGTCCATTGCTCCCCTCAGCAGTGTATTTCAATCACTCTGCCTGTTCTTCTCCCTGGTCTGTCTCTAGTGAGTCCCCTCACCACCCCCACGTCTGGTCTGCACCCCAGTTCTTAAACACATAAAAAATAAGTCAATGTTAAAAAAAGAAAAATGAAATGAAATTATAAGCAGACACGTGAAATGCAAGCCCCGTTTTCCACATAGAGTCAACAGATACAAACTTTCTGTCAAATGACTCTTAAAGTTTATCAAACCCCCCTTTCACATGTTATAATTCGGACTAGTAACCAGCAGTGTGGCCCGGCACTGGCCCGCAGACCACACTTCGAGAAGCAGGGCTTCTCCCCGTCAGACCTTTGCACGAGCTGTCCCTGTCCCCGGAATGTCCTTCCCTGGCCACCTCTGCCTGATCTGTGCTCCACTTTCAGAACTCGGCTCAAACAAAGCTTCCTCCTGGCGGCCTGCTCAGCCCCAGCTGCTCCCAGATAAGCCCAGCCACGGTGGTTCACGGCCCCTGTGTCACTTCCTGTGTCTGCAAAGACCTGCGTCTGTCTAGTTCGTCACTGTCCTTAGGCCCAGAGCAAGCATTTGCTGAGGCCAGAGAGTGGGAGGGCTGGTCTGGAGGGTCCGAATGCCAAGCCAAGCGCAGATGAAGGGCCACGCGGGGCAGCAGAGAGGCAGGTCAGTTACATGGCAGGGCAGAGACCTGGGCCAAGCACAGTGAAGCTGGGCTACAGACCAGAGGTGGGGGGAGGGTGAGAGCACTCACCAGCCCTTGCCACATGCCCACTCCGTCCTGCACCCCACAGAGAAGGAAGCTGGGACATCTTAGAGGCCAATGTCTATTTCTCAAAGTGTGTTCCACAGAGCCCTGGGGTGCCATGCAACCCTCAGGGCCTGAGTGAGTTTGCAAAGGAGCAGGAAGATGCAAGGCCCTGCCCCTGTTCCATTAGAGCCCACCCCCACGCCCTCATTTCTGCTTTAGAGTCTGATGGGAGAAGCGCTCTCTGGCTTAAACAACCTGAACACCCCAGGTTGGGGGTGGCTGGGGAGTGAGTCTGTTTTGCAAACAGCTGGTGGGGACCAGACAGGGGCACCCCACCACCTGCTCAGTCACAGGAAATGCTGAGGCCCCGCAGCACCCTGGGAAACCCGGGGAAGCCAGTTTCCAGTTTCCCTGATGCTCTGGCCTCGTCTTGGTCATCTGCAGGGAAGTGCCCTACGCTTAAAGGGTGGCAGGGAGGGCAGGGAAGGAGCAGCTGCAGGGGAGAGCCCCGGGCTGGGCAACAGATGCCTAGCATCCCCACTGACCCTACTCCCTACTCCCCTCACGGCCTCAGTTTCCCCATCTGAACATAAGACAGGCCCCATCAGCACGGTAGGAGACAGGTTTGGGTTATACCCCTCTGGCTTCCATTTGGGGCTGCACCCCACACAGCCAGGTGGCCTGGACAAGTTGGGTCACCTCCCCCAGCTGCGGCTTCCCAATCTGTCAGATGAAGATAAAAGTTGCCCAAACCTGGTCTTAGGCAGGGTCCCTGGAAGCAGACCCTGAGGCGAGTGATTCACGTGCAGGTGATTCTTAGAAGAAACTATCACCAAAATGCAGATGGGAACCCCCTAGTGGGGGGCTGGGGGGAGCCCAGCCAGGGTGTTATCTCTGGCCAGGTGCCAGCCTCAGCCCCAGGGCATGCTGGAGAGTGAGGATCCGCTCAGTTGTCTTACTGGGCCAAGGGGGCGGGAATCTCAAGACGCCCACACAGCCGACGCACATTCCTGAGCACATTGGGGCAAAGTGGCTCTTTGTTTGTTTTCAAAGATGTATTTATTTGTGCACTCAAGAACTGGGGTACAGGCCAGAAGTGTGTGGGGTGGGGGGAGAGTGAGAAGATTTCCCAGAGACAGAGTGGGGAGCAGAAAAGTGGATCTACTGAAATGCACTGCTGAGGGGAGCAGGGAGCAGGACAGGAGAGGTCTGCTGCGCCCTGTGGGTCACTCTCTGGCCAGGATCGAACTCCTGTTGCAATTAGTGGCTGCAGACAGCTTCCTAATGCTGCACTTTAACCCCTTGCACCACCAGGGAGGGCCCTAACGCAGCTCTCTGAAGATTCAGGGATGCAGTCTGCTCCAAGGGGTACATGTCAAAGCTGGGGATGGGCATGAGAGAAAGAGGGCCCCCGGGGGGTGTGGGGGAGCAACTGCAGGTGACTGGTGGGGCGGTTGCGAGGATGAAGCAGGAGAACGCCATAACGCCCCTGCGTGGTTCCTGCACTGGGCAATGCGCCTAGATGACATCGGTTGCTTTTTCCTGACTGCTGGCAGGCTGGGGCCAGCGAGCGTGGAGGCCCGAGGAGGCCGTCTGGCGCTCTGGACGGTGGCGGGCTCCTCTGCGCTGGGCCTGTCCCCTAAGCCTCTGTCTTCCCCGCAGCTGCAGTCCATGGTGGACCTGCTGGAGGGCACGTTGTACAGCTTGGACCTGATGAAAGTGCACGCCTACGTCCGCAAGGTGGCCTCCCAGATGGACACCTTGGAAGAGGTGAGAGCGGGGTTGGAGCCGGGGGTCAAGGCGGTACAGTGCTGGGAGTGAGGGCTGTTCCAAAGGGGTCCGGGCAACTCCGACCTGGCCCTGGTGGCCACAGGAAGCTGGACCCCCGTGCAGCTGGACAGAGATAGAGGGTTCTGGAAGGCTGGGTGGGTGACAGGGAAAGAACGCTGGCAGGGACTGCCCCGGGGACAGGGACGGAGCGGGGTGAACGTGGAAGCTGAGGCTGGAGGGTCGGGGTCACCGGAGCTGGCACAGCCTGGCGGCCGCCTGTTTCCTGCATCCTGCCTCTGCCGGCGGCTGGAGCCTAGGGACATACATGCAGCTGCCAGGAGCGGGCGTGGGGGCTTCCTTCCCCACTTCCTTTGCAGAAGGAGGGGGCAACCTGGGCATCCTGTACCCCGGGTGGGAGACTAACCCCTCTCTCGTCCCCAAGGTTGGGGTCACAGTGGCCTTAATTATTCAAAAGGCGCTTGCTGCGTCGTCCATGAGCCAGGCGCTGGCCGGCAGGGACAGAGGTAGCAACTGCTGCTTTTCTACGACTTACGGACACTTCCTGTGCCTGGTCCTGCCCAGCTCTCCGGGTGCACTGACCGTCTCCCGCTGTGGCCGCTCCTCTTGTAATCTTAGGAAATGTGAACTCACATCACATAACTGAGCCAGAGGATCTAAGGAAATGTCTGCTGGGGCTGGAACAAATCAGACATGATTTCCGCAGACACAGAGAAATGATTTGTGAATTATCTTCTGTTTTGCATTATCTGTATTTTGCTTCTGTTCACTAAGTGAGACTCTGTGGGAAACAAGCCTTTTGCTGGCCCTGGCAGGAGGGGAGACTCGCCCAAGGAAAAAACCCAGGATCCAGGCAGCCACTTGGGGTACCTGCTTCTCTCTGCTCTCTTCCCTTCGTCAGCGATTCAGAACCAGAGGCAATTTTGCACCCTGGGAAAGAGTTGGCAATATCTGGAGATGTTTTCGGTTGTCAGTTTGGGAGGGGAGGGGGGAGAAGCTATTGGCTTGGATGGGTGGAGGCCAGGGAGCCACTGATGTCCTGCAATGCACAGAACGAGCGCCCACACACACCGCGGCAAAGCCACAGAGCCGAGGCTGAGACACGGCCACCCTGACTCCCCTGGGAGCTAGTTCGCAAGGCCCTCTCCCACGGCAGCCCCCCACTTCCTCTCAGTAACCCCGACATTTAGTTGTTAAGATCATAATGATCCTCATTTTACCAGCAAGAAATCTGAAGCTCAGAGAGGTAAAGTCATTAGCTTAGGGTAACCCAGCCAGGGAGCAGAGACCAAGGACGTGAACCCTGCTCTGCCCGACTCCTGCCCTGCGGCCCCTGGGCCCTGACGCTTCACGCCCAGGGCCGGCTGCACCTGTATCCTTTTCGGTTCATCTTCTCCTCTCGAAGAACCTTTGTCAGTGAAATCCAGATGCCTAATTCTGATACTTTGCAGCTTCCCAGCAAAGAGATGCTTCCTGCATGTGCTCCAGTAGTGGCCCTACTTCAGCTAAGAATTAGACGCAGGCCTCGCTGGTAGCACAAGGGGTTAAGTCTCAGCACCATGAAGCTGTCGCAGCCCTGTGGCACCAGTTCCATCCCAGGCCAGGCAGCTGAGGCACATGACACAGCAGACCTCTCCTGTCCCCCCGCTGCTCCCCTCAGCAGTGTGCTTCAGTCAGTCTGTCTTTTATGTTCCCCACTCTGTCTCTGGGGATTCCTCTTATCCCCCACACCTCTGGCCTGTACCCCATTTCTTGTATGCATAAAGTCTTACTGGGCCAAGGGGGCGGGAATCTCAAGACGCCCACACAGCCGACGCACATTCCTGAGCACATTGGGGCAAAGTGGCTCTTTGTTTGTTTTCAAAGATGTATTTATTTGTGCACTCAAGAACTGGGGTACAGGCCAGAGGTGTGGCGGTGAGAGGCTTCACCAGAGACAGAGTGGGGAGCAGAACAGGCAGATTGACGAAGTACACTGCTGAGGGGAGCAGCGGGCGGGTCAGGAGAGGTCTGGCTCGCCATGTGGTCTCCTCCGGGGCAGGCGGCAGGCAGGAATCGAACTCATGCGGAAGTGGCTTCAGATTCTCAGTGCTGTGCTTTAACCCGCTGCGCCACCAGGGAGGGCCAATAGACAATTTTTTTTAAAGATTTATTTATGCATACAGAACTGGGGGGCAGGCCAGAGGTACAGGGGCCGTGAGAGGATTCCCCTGAGACAGAGTGGGGAGCAGGACAGGCTGGCTGGCGAAGTACACTGCTGAGGGGAGCAGCAGGGAGACAGGAGAGGTCTGCCACGCCATGTGATCACCACCGGGGCAGGGATCGAACTCATGCTGAAGTGGTTTTAGCTTCTTAGGGCTGTGCTTTAACCTGCTGCGCCACCAGGGAGGGCCCGACAAATTTTTAAGGGGGAAAAAAGTAGACTCAGACAAAGACATTCCACACACTCCCCAGACCTGCCGGTGCTTTGGGGACCTGGAGCCAATACCTGCCAGGCTGCCCAGGTTTCCTGAGTCCTGCCTTCAGGAACTGGGCCTGTTTGGGCAACAGCCTGGTGATGGGCACCCCTAGCTAAGCGGGGGTCCACTGAGAGAGGAGTAGGGTGCTTCTTAACAGCCCCTCTATTCTCAACAGGATTCAGAACCAGGGGTAGAGTCTCAGGGGGCTGGGGCTGGCAAACGCCTGGCAGGGTCTGCAGCAAGGGGGCGACAAGGTGAGTCAGGAGAGCAAGAGTGGGGGCTCAGGGGGGGGCCAGTGCTGTGGAGAAGCCAACAGGAGAGCAGCCCAAGGCTTGGAGATGAGGAAGGTTTGGAGACTCACCCACAGCAAAGCCCCAGATCGCCACTATTTGCATATTTTACAAAAAAGAAGTGTGTTTGTACATATTTACTTATTTATGTGAAACTAAAAGGCAAATATAAAGTAGCAAAAGACTGCTAGCAACTTATGTGGCCACCCATAACAGACCAGACACTAAAATATGGCGCATGTGCACAATGGCCAGTAGCAGGAATGGGGGTGCATACAGACAGACTTGGAGCTCTCCCCAAAACAGGACCAGGGGAAAAGGACAGAGCTTAAAAAGGAGGGAAAGAGGAAAGGGAAGGAGGGACCGAGGAAAGGAAGGAGGCTGTAACAATGGCACCGCTAAGGAAAAAGTGGGGGAGATACTTTCTGGACCCAGTTACGTCTTTTTAATCCAGTGTCATGAGCACACTCTACTCACCAGTCTATCGTGTCTGCACATACTGGCCATTAGACGGCTGTGCCTTTGTTACAGACATTTCCTCCCAGTCTGTCGTTGTCGTTTTTCTACTTTTTTAAAATTTCTTTTTCCCACCACCGCCCTGTGTCCCCTTGCCCCACCCCCGCCCCCTGCCTCTCCCTCTTCACCTCAGGGTTCACAGGACATGTGCTGATGGCCAGTAAGTTTTGGAAGTGCTTTGTGTCATTGAATTGTCTAATATTTGTTTTTATCATCCTGACTTTTTGCCACATACAACTTGAACCTTTCCTCCATTTTGTTGAAAATGGCTGAGTTTCAGCCTTTGTTATGGCTGTGTAATATTCCACGGCATGGCTATTCCATCTCTTTTTGATCTTTTTCATCCACAGAAGGAGATCCTGGCTGCTTCCATGTCCCAGCTATTGTAGAGAAGTACTGTATTTTTGTTCATTCGTTTTTTTTTTTTTATCAAAAAAAAAGAGTACCAGACCCGCCCTGGTGGCACAATGGGTTAGGATGCAGCACTGCAAGCTGGCCACAGCTTCCCTAGCTGTGTACTTCATCAAACTGCCTACTCTGCTCCCCACTCTGTCTCTGGTGAATCCTCTCACTGCCCCTGCATCTCAGGCTTGTACCCCAGTTCTGTATGCATAAATTTTTTTTTAAAAAAGTAACAACAGGGTCTCTGAGCAGCATGCTTGCCCTTCCTGTCCTTACAAGCCCCTGTCAGCAGACGGGGCCACCAAGCTTGATGGCTGGAGTGTCTGCCCCCAAAACAAGAGAGGGTCCGATGAAAAACCTTGGGCCCTCCCCCCACAGAGCATCAAGGCCAACCTGAGCCGGGAGAACGAGGTGGTGAAGGAGAGCATGCAGCACATCAGTGAGCAGCTGCAACGCTACGAGAACCACTCGGCCATCATGACGAGCATCAAGAAGGAACTCTCCAGCCTGAACCTCCAGCTGCTGCAGAAGGACGGGGCCCCAGTCCCCATCGCTGTCCCCGCTGCTGGCCCAGGCAGCAAAGCTCAGGTGGGACTGGGGTGCTGGTTGTGGGGGGCAGAGTGGGTGGGCTTAGGAGCCAGTATGCCAGCACCCCGGCCCTGAGCACCAGTTGGGGGTGGGGGTTTCTGGTTGTAGGACAGGACTGAGGGCGGGCACAGATGGAAAGCCCATGCGGGGCAGGTGTGCGTGGGCTGGGAGCCTGCTATAGACTGAGTGCAGTCAGCTCAGGGGAGCCAGGAAGACGTGGGCGTGCAGCCGAGGGGTCCATTCCCTGAGCCGGGGTGGGCAGTCTCCTCAGTCACTTCTCCAAACCAGTGGAGAGCTGTGGTGACGTCCCTTCCTGCCTGGCCTGGGACACCAGGTGGGCTGCAAGCCAACACTTCCAGACTTCCCTGCTGCAGGTGGGTGCCTGGCTAGGTCAGGCCTGCTCAGGGTAGGTGGGTCCTGCCTCAGGGGCCCTGCAGACTTACTCAACTCGGGCAGCCCAACCCGGGACTGAGAATTCCCGCACGGCACATCCAGACGTGCCCAGTTCCCGTGCAGAGCAGCCAGAGCCAGGCACCGGCTGTGCCATTGGCAGAGTCACCCCCAACACGCAGCACACCTTGAGCACACTTGCAGAAGGCCCCCTCCAACAGACAGACAGATGGCGGAAAGGCCCTTCCCCTGGGCAGAAGATTAGAAAGATGGACACACCCCGTCCGGCGGTATGAAAGGCAATTGCAGCACCGTCTGGATGTCCGCCCCTTTCCGGTCCTTTGGGCCCTTCTGGGGGGGGGAAGAGGGGCAGGACACAGCCCCTGCACTCTGCACCCCAGCCTCGTGTTGGTGAGCCAGGGAAGAAAGAATGACTACTCCAACCTGACTTCCGCCCAGACACGACCCCAGTTCACCCCGTCCCCACCTGTGTGTACAAGGAGGGATGCGCCCGGCCCAGCTGGGGACGAGGAAGCCTGGAAAGGGGGCGGCCACCGGGCCAGGCTCTTCCCCTCCACCCCGTGCCTGGTCTGGCACCGTGTGATGGGAAGTTTGTGTCTGGAACCACCTCGAGCCCGATAAAGCTGGAGGAAGCCCTGTTCCCTGGCCCACACTGGCTTCCTGCCCACTCCTGCGCCAGTCCATGGGCGTGAAGGCGGCCAGATACCCCAATTGCCGAATCTCCTGGAAATCGGCCTAACAATGGGTGGCGTCACTGGCCCTGTGTTCTTGTGCCAGGCCAGCACGGGTGTATTTAAGAGGGTGGAAAATAGCCCACGGGCCGGAACCGCCATCCCCAGGCAGTCCCAGAAGGAACGACACAACGGGAAAGAGGAGGTGCCCCGCCCGCGTCCTCGGGGCCTTCCGGAAAACATGGGGTGCCCCTCTGGCCACATTCACAAGAATCTACAGGAAAGGCGGTGCTGTGGGCATCAAGGGGATGGACGGTGTTCAAAACGGAAGGCCCCGCCTGTTGCCATGGCAACACGGGAAGCGTCTGTGGTGTTACCCAGCATGCGGTTAGTGTTGCAACGCCAAGATTCAAGGGCAAGATTCTGGCCAAGAGAACCCACTTCTATAACTGAGCACAGGGAGCACAGGCAGAGCCGAGAGAGAGTCCTGAAGCGCTGGCAGAAAGTGGCCAGGACCCAAAAGGACGCTGAGCACAAAGGTGCTTGGGACCCACTGAGGCCCAGCCTGCGCCATGCGGAGATCACTGGGCTGCTGGGCCCGCTCGCTGGGAATCCGTGACAGGATGGGTGGGAGAAAAATAAAAGGCCTTGGGACTATTAAAAAGCAAGTAAAAATAAAAGGAAGAGAAAATAACAGAACTTACCAAACATCAAGCTCTGCACCCTACTGCCAGGGTGACCAGGTGTCCCAACTGGCAGGGGGGTGGAAGGGATGCCCCGGACACAGATTTTTTCAGTACTAAAACTAGGAACGAGTGGGGTGAATGGGTCACCCTGGGTAAGTGGGTCACCCTGCTATGGGCCTGAGAGCCTCTCCTGTCCCCCACAAAGACCAGTGAGTGAGAACGACAGATGGGAAGCTGAGCTGGTGATGGGCTGCCTCCCAGGGAGCTGGCCACTGGGACCTCCTCCCTGGGCTGGGGGAGGGGAGGGCAGCAGTTGGGAAATGGGTCAGAAATCCAGCCTCAGGCTGGGCTTCAAGCCTGCAGGGCAGCTAGAGGGCCACAGGGGGAAACTGAGGCCCACCCTAGCTGTGGAGGAGGCTGTGACCGTGAGCACGTGAGGCGTGGGGTCTGCAGCGCTCCCCCCATGCCTCGCCTCCATCAGCCCCCATATCATCTCTCATGTCCCCTGTAAATCTGAGCCTCCCTTCTCTCCAGGACACGGCTGGAGGGAGAAGCAAAGATGCCGACAAGTACAGCAATGTGCAGAAGAGCTTCGTGGACAGGGGCCGCCCAAGACCTCCTAAGGAGAAACTGCTGAAGGCAGAGAAGCTCAGGAGGGAGGACAGCAAGGGCAGACCTGCCCAGCCCACCGCCAGGCCCCGGGCCCTGGCCCAGCAGCAGGCTGTGATCCGAGGCATCACCTACTACAAGGCAGGCAAGAAGGAAGCCGCCCAGGCCGCGTCCGGTGAGCTGGAGGAGAACTGGAACCTTGCGGGGTGCAGTTAGCAGGGGGCGCCCCCTCCACCCAGTCCGGGCTCTTCTCTTGGGTCGGACTGACCCAGACTTCACCTCGACTCGTTACTGCTGGTGCTGTTTGCTCACCCCCTTCATGGAGGGATTGGGGTGAAATGCTGAATCTGTTTCAAAGGGCCCCTGGGTGCTTCTCCAGTATTTACAGGTGTCTCCCCCCCACCACCCCCCCCGCTGGATGTTTCCTTTTCATTCAAAGCTTTGCTGACAGTCTGTACTCATATGCCCCGAGAAGTCTCTGCCTCCATGAAGCTCACAGTCTAGTGGGAACAAACATACCCAGGAGTGATGCCAGGGGTGGGGTGGGAGAAGCCCGGGGCTACAGCCGGGCCAGCCTCCTGGCAAGGGATGTGGAGTCTTTGGGGGTCCCTCTCTTTTCCAGACTGGCCCTGGAGATTCCCCAGCTCCTCCCCCTTCTTTCCCCAAAGGAGACCCCACAGACTACTGTATGGGTGGAGTCTGTGCTTCCGCCAGATCACAGAGCAGGGCAACAAAGCAGTAAATGGCGAGACAAGAGATGAGTTCTAAGAGTCCCCACATTTCTGAGCCATCCCTGCTGGTGTGGCTTCTCATCCCTCCCCCGAACCCCCTCTCCAGATGCCTGTTCTCTTCCAGTGACCCTGAGTGCTATCCCAAGTCGTGCCCCTTCCTGGGTTCTGCCGATACCTCCTTGGGGCCGCCCCTTGCCCAGCACATGTCCAAGGCGCCGGGCCGTGGAACTGTGAGAGACTCCTCCAAGGACTCCCTTGTTTCTGCATCTCCCGGGGGCTCAGGGCCTCTTCCTCCAACCCCTGGTGTCAGCTGCTGGCCCAAGTCCTGCCAGCTCATCCTGGCTGCTGCCCAGACCTCTGACCCTGGCTGGGGCACTGGCCAGGAACAGCTGCGGCATGTGATGCTGCCCTGGCAGGCTCCCGAGCGCAGGCCCGGGGCCACCTGACCACAGTGTGCACCATCACAGAGGAGTCCGCGTTGCCACACAGCAGGGCCAGCTAGCCCCCCGACAGAGGGACGTTGGGGGGGGGGAAGCAAGGCGTCAGACAGCTGCCCTGTCCTCACAAGAGGCCTCGATGCGTCCCCTGGGGCAGGACTGGCACCATAACTGTGGCACCGTCACCTGCCCTGGCTTCCGGGTCCTCTCACACCTGGTCCAGGCCGGGAAATCAGTTCAGAGCAGCGGCAGGACCCGCGCGGGTTTCACAGAGAATTAGTGGCAGAGCCCAGGTCAGCGGCTGCCTTCAGCACCTTCTCCATTCTGTTCCCAGGGCCGAAGCGTCTCTGTCACCTGGTTGTGTGACATTGAGTGTGATGTTGCTTGCCAGGATCTGTGCAGAGCCCCGTGGCCTGGGGCTCCCCCACCTTACAGCCCACCCCCACCCCCTTGAGTCATTGCAACAGCCTAACCAGGTGACGGCGCCTCTCATTTTACAGAGCAGGGCACTGAGCCCCACTGAGGCAGGGAGACTGCGGCGGCTACTCAGCGTGGGGGAGCAGAGCCAGTCTGCTGCCCACAAAGGCCTCCCCAGCTCCCCACCTCCTACTTGGAGGTCCCAGGCAGACATCCCCAGTCAAGGTCCCCTGGGCCCCCTGAGTCTGCCCCAGGACCCCAGAGCTGGGAGTCCACTGATCCTGGGAGAGCCTTGGGCAGCAGGGAGTCAGCTCCTGGTCTTCTCTCCACAGACAACGCCCTCAAGGGCACTTCCCGGCTGGAGCCGCCCCCCAGGACGGAAGGCAGACCACCAGAACCCAACTCTGCTGAGGGTGATGAGACTGGGCCGGGGGCTTCAGAGAGGGCGGACGTGGCCCGGGACTCCCCCACCTCGCAGCCCACCCCCACCGCCACGCCCTCCACTCGTCCCCTGCCCACCGAGCCGCCTTCCCACCCCGATGTCCCCAGCCAAGGTGAGTAGACCTGACCGAGGCCAGCAAGCCACAGCCTTGGCCAAAAAGCCTGCGGCCTGGCAGGTTGTTTATCTGTAGTTTGGTTTCTTGTTGTTGTTTTTCCTTCAGCAAAGCCCTCCAGGTAAGAATGGCTCTTTTATTTGTAAAGGGTTGTTAGAAAAAAAGAGAGAGCGAGAAGAATGGATCGGACATTGCACAGTCTGGAAAGTCTAAAATGCTTGCTGTCTGACCCTTACAGAAAACCTTTGACCACATTTAGATAAAAACAGTAATTTCAACAAATTCTTCTCCAGACATTCCCTAGAATCCCATCACCAAGCCCAGCAACTCTTGCCATTTCTTAACGCCCCCTGCTCATTCTCTGGCCCCATGCTGTCTCCTGGGCTTGTCTCTGCGTAGAGATGTTTCTCGTGACGCCAGCAAGCCGAGGCTGGGGGGCATATGGCTACCTGTCATACAAGCCCAGGTCCCGTCCACTTCCAGGAATCTTTCCTGAAGTTGCCACTAGTGAGGTGACCACAGCTGCAGCTGATCTGGCCTCCTCACAGCTTATTTCTAAAGTCAGAAAACGAAAAAACTGAAAGGCCACTCCTGGGAGGACGGGCTGAGTAAGGGAGAGGGCACAGCTGCCTGGTGGAGCCCGAAGACTTGTCATTAAAGGGCCACTAATGATGTGAGAAATTGCTCAGTGGAGGGAAAACAGGATACATAAAACTGTTCGGGAGGGTTTTTTTAAAGTATGCTGCGTGAGTGTACATGCAAAGAAAAAAAAAGAAGGAAGTAACCCCACTTCTTTGGACAATGGGATTTGGAATGATTTTCATTTTCTTTATTGTCCTTTTGTCTGAATGGTCCGTGTTTTCTGCCATGATCAAGATGGCCTTTTTTTTTTTTTAGATGTATTTATTTATGCATACAGAGCTGGGGTACAGGCCAGAGGTGCAGGGGGGTGAGAGGCTTCACCAGAGACAGAGTGGGGGGGAACAGAACAGGCAGATGGACTGAAATACACTGCTGAGGGGAGCCGTGGGGAGAGGCCTGCTGTGCCGTGTGGGTCACTCCCTGGCCGGGGATCGGACTCCTACGGCAGTGGCTGCAGACAGCTTCACAGTGCTGCACTTTAACCCCTGTGCCACCAGGGAGGGCCCGGAGATGGCTTTTCAAATGAAGGAAGAATGGGGGTAGAGGTGTCAGCAAAACATCAGGAGGGACTGAATCAGACCTCGACGGCATGGGGCCTGTGGTCTGTGTACCCGAGGCTGCACCCCTCACCCCCCATAGGCAGAGAAGCCAGCTGTGAGGGCACCCTGCGGGCCGTGGACCCCCCGGTGAGGCACCACAGCTATGGGCGCCACGAGGGAGCCTGGATGAAGGACCCCACTGCCCAGGACGACAGGATCTACGTCACCAACTACTATTACGGAAACAGCCTGGTGGAGTTCCGAAACCTGGAGAACTTCAAGCAAGGTCAGGGACCCCAGAAGTGGGGTGGGGCAGGGCGAGGGTAGCCAGGGGTGGGTCCACCATGGAGACAGGGGCCTCCCTTGCCCTGTGGTGTCCTGTGGTCCAGATTTCCTAATTGGTCTAGTTCTGAATAGTCAGTCACCCCAAGGAGGGGCTCTGTGGGTGTCCCATGTGGGCTGGCCAGGACTTTGTTGGGGTGAACAAGAGGGGTGCCCTCATGGAGTTGCTCAGTATTGGTAAACAACACCCTTGAGTTCTGATTCCCTGCTAGTCACCCTGTGCGTATCAGCTGTGGCATCTTCCTAGGTCTGGAGGTGGGGTTATCACCCTGTTTGCCAGGGCCCCAGGCCTTAGGAGGGGCTGCAGATCTGGGCAGAGGCCAGCATGGGGCTATTAGCATAGGGAAGGGCAGAAATTTTGTTATCAGATCTGGAGCCTGGTGGGGGGATGGGTCACTTAGCTCCGACCCTTCCTCCAGAATTCAGAGAAGTAAGTGCAGCATAGCATTACAGGGAGAGTTGAGGGCGCTGGTAACCCAGCCTGGAGATCAGGGAAGGCTTCCCAGGGGAGGTGCTGCTGAGCCGAGCCTGGAAACAGAGCAGGAGCAGTCCTGCAGAAGGGAGAGGTGTCCAGCGAGAAGGCCCAGCACAGAGAGGCCCGGCAGCCAGAGAAGCATGGCCTCCGAGAAGGGAGCTGGCGGAATGCAGTGAGTGGGTTGCAGCAGGTCTGGGGAGCCACATCAAGCTGTCTGGACTTATCATGAAAGTCAGGGGGTGTGACCTGGAATAGCCAGAGGCCTTCCTCCTTCCTGTCAAAATTGATCAGGTCTCTGCTTCCTGCAGCTCAACAAGGAGCCCGCTCCAGTGCTAGCACAGAGGGTTTCTATGGGAGCCGGAGGAGAGGCCCCTCACGCAAGCCTGGAGAGATCAGGGAAGGCTTCCTGGAGGAGGGTCATTTGATTGCAAGCTCCAACAGATAAGGCCTTGCCGCAGGCAGAGCCGGTGGGGAATGGCAGCCGAGACAGAAGGAACAGCACAGGCAAAGACCCTACGAGGAAGCATGGGCAGATGGGAGGCTTTGTCCAAACCCTGGCTGGGCCATTCTGTCAGGGGGTGACCCTGAATCTTCTCAGCCTGTCTTATACTCCCACAAGGGACCCTAAGAGCGCCTCCTCCTTCATGGGGCTTGACGTGAGAGCACCATGGCCCCGAGCACCCTCCCTATCCATTGTTCGGGTGACTCAAGGGCCTGGGGGTCCAGAGGGTAGACTGAGGGCGCAGGGGTCGCCCTGCAGCGTGCGGTAACCCTCCGCCCTCGCCCTCCGTGCAGGCCGCTGGAGCAACATGTACAAGCTGCCCTACAACTGGATCGGCACAGGCCACGTGGTCTACCGCGGCGCCTTCTACTACAACCGCGCCTTCACCAAGAACATCATCAAGTACGACCTGCACCAGCGCTTCGTGGCCGCCTGGGCGCTGCTGCCCGATGTGGTGTACGAGGACACCACACCCTGGAAGTGGCGCGGCCACTCGGACATCGACTTCGCCGTGGACGAGAGCGGCCTGTGGGTCATCTACCCTGCCGTGGATGACCGCGACGACGCGCAGGCCGAGGTGATCGTGCTGAGCCGCCTGGACCCCGGCGACCTCTCGGTGCAGCGGGAGGCCACGTGGAAGACGCGGCTGCGGCGCAACTCCTACGGGAACTGCTTCCTGGTGTGCGGCATCCTGTACGCCGTGGACACCTACAACCAGCACGAGGGCCAGGTGGCCTACGCCTTCGACACGCACACGGGCACGGACGCCCGCCCGCAGCTGCCCTTCGTCAACGAGCACGCCTACACCACCCAGGTGGACTACAATCCCAAGGAGCGCGTGCTGTACGCCTGGGACAACGGCCACCAGCTCACCTACGCCCTGCACTTCGTGGTCTGAGCCCCGCGTGCTCCCAGTGGGCACAGGGCTCCCCGCTGTGGATATTTATTCGAGGCCAGGCCTGGGCCTCCTGCTAGGCCAGTGGCCTGGCCAGGGTAGAGCTCCCTAGCAGCGAGTGGAATAGTAATCCCGTCCACTGCACAGCATGTGCCAAGCACCTGCAGCAGCCGCCTCCTCCTCCCCAGGCCTCCTGGGAGGGGAGAGCCGTCAGCCTGTTTAATGGAGGAGGGCACTGAGGCTCAGACGCAACTGTCCCCGCCTAAAGGGCCCCCGTTTGGCCGAGGCAGGCTGTGTTCGCCCCACAGCCCCACTGTACAGCTGGGGGGAATGCACCATGCTCTCCCCTACCTTCAGGCCTCCCCTCCTCGCCCCCATCCCCACCCCGGGCCTCCCCTGGGCCTTGGGACCCATCCGTTAAGTTTGAAGCCTGTGCGTCACCCCAGCCCTGGACTTTGGGCCCCTTGGCTAGTGGCTCTGCTCTTTGCCTTTGGCCAGTCTCCCATCCTCACCCCACCCGCTGTCCAACTGCATTCCAAACATCCGTGGTCACCCAGCCACTGAGCAGAAACCACACCCTAAGAAAATACACCGGCCCCCGCTCCAAGGTTTCCCTCCCTCTGTACTCATTTTCTTACTCTTCACCAGTGCCGTCATTTGTTTCTGCAGCAGCTGAGAAGGCTGCAGGCAGCAGCCTGCTGGGGTAGGGGCTGGGCCAGGCCCCAGGCGCCCCCTCCACCAGAGCGCTGGCTCCAGCCCTAGCCAGGCTTCAGGGCCATCCTTCCCAGAGCCTCGGACTTGGGATCCACCTTGTCCTTTCTCTCTGGTCTTTGGACCCACGGCCCACAGCCTTTATGTACTCAGGGAAAGATCCAAGACTATGCGCAAGACCCAAAGCCAGGCTGGTACCAGGACAAAGCAGGCTTCCTTTGTCCGAGCTGGCCTGGTCATTTATGGGTGGCCTAGCAGTCTGGGGGCAGGGGACAGCGGAGAAATGTGAGCAGGCAGGTCCACCGGAAGCCTTCAGCCTGTGGCTGCAGGGAAAAGCCAAGGGTGGAAGCTAGGAGGGAAGAAAGGGGGCTATGTGGACCAGGGCTCCCCAGTTTTGGAGATGTTGGGGCCAGCATTGCCCCCAACCAGAACTGGGGCTGAGAATGCACAAACGCCCGGCCTGGAACTCTGCTGGCTTCCAGGAGCCTCAGACCCAGGCGCCCGGGAAACAAGAGCCTTCGGGCTGCCCTGATCTGCTTAGGACAATACTCTGAGCCAAGTAGTGTTTCAAGGGGAGACGTTCTCCAGTCCCGTTCCCTGTTTCACCAGAGGAGAAATGCAAAGGTTTGGACGGCGGCTTGGGGTCAACTAGCAACAGGACATAGGCCCTTTCTTTCCAGAAGGGCCCTGTCTATATTCTTTATTCTCCTGGCTTCGAGGCGGCTCTGCCTGGAAAGGCACTAAGCCCCCAGCACCGAGCCAGCTCAACATCTTGGAGGGTGTCGACTTCTGAGCCCCACACTACTCCCGGCCACACTCCACCCCGCCAGCTCCTGGGTAGCTGTACATTTGAACGCATGGTGCCAGGCCAGGAAGCGCAGCTGAAGGAAATGCACTTTGTGCAGGCTGTGTTCTTTGCAGGCTCAGTCAGGTGACATTTGGTTTAAGCTGTAACTCACCCCTGAAATAAAGGGGAATGAGGATGCCGGCCAACCAGGGCCTGACTCACAGCGGTGGCCATCCAGCTCCCCCACCCATGGGCTCTGCGGACACTCCTCAGGGGCTGCACGGCCCGGCCTTTCCCTGGGCCCTGGGTGTGGGGTTTACAAGGCTGTGCCTTTCGTGATATCACAACCCAACCATGCGACACGAGTAGAGGCCCCACTTTCTTCATGATTTTGAAAAGGGAAAAGTAAGAGTCTATTTTGAAAAACTAAACAAGCACAATTGTTATCTGAGGAGGATGCTGGCTGCAGCCCTCAGACTTCCCCAGGCCCTTCTGTCTTTAATACAAGGGTTATGGAGCGGGGTGGTGGTTTCTCATTGTACAGATGGTAGAAGTGAGGCCCAGGGAACAGTCATTTTCATGTAGACAGTTGGGTGGAAAGCCATGCTGTAAAGCCAGGAGACACGACTCCCAACCCCTGTGTGGGTCACCTGACTGCTCCCCTTGCATCTTCACAGTGGGAAGTAGAGAAGCTACCTGTGCCCATTTCACAGGTGAGGACGCTGAGGTGGAGGGACTTACCCAAGGGGACTCGGCACTTTCATCTCTGGCCAGGTCAGAATTCCAGGATCCATCAGTTCTGTTCTCCGCTTGCAGGCCGCCCTAGGGGCAGTCCCAGAAACGGTGGCCATGTGGTCAGCCCACGGGGTGCATCCACACAGGATACTCAAGAAGGAGGTCGGAATTAGCTGGTTAAAGAGCCTTGAATGCCAAGCCAAGGAGTGATAACCTCCAGTCACATTCAGAATGAAGCTGAATGTACCTTAACAGAGAAAGGAAAATTCTCAATCAAGTTTTGTTCTGCCAGGGGTAGGAGGCTGGAGGGGCTTGTTGGGGGGGGGGGGGGGGGGAGACTGGAGCCTGCCCACAACTGCAAATTTGTGAAGTTTCAAGCAAACCTGACCCCTCTTGGACCTTACCTCATTTTGCAACAGGTACTTCAGACAAGGACAGACCTGGACTGGGCATGGCTGGCATTTTTTACCAACCGCAGCCTCGAAGCCAGAGGAAGTTTCCTCTGCTGTTTGTGCATATGGCTCATCAAGAGACTTTGGCCGTAACCTTTGCCTCCACTAGAGATTTCCATGTCTTAATATCTAATCTGTCTGGGAGGAAATAGCGGGGGTCTCTGCCTTGAGGGCAGACACCGTGGGGTTTTGCTAGGAATGATTTGAGGGCACAGGTGTTCCAAAGCACCCCCCCCCCCGTGACAGCACGAGACCCACTTGGTGACAAAAGGCCTCGACACGGGATGGGGTTAGGGAGTCCTGGGTGGACTCCACCTCTTACTTGCTGCAAGCTTGAGCAAGTCCTTTTGCCCAGGCAGCAGCTCCTAGAGCGAGGAGGCACTGTTGCAGACATCACTGATTCATCCAGGGACCACCAAGGACTGCCTTCCAGGTAGTGAACCTCAGATTCCGAGGTTGAGCAACTGCTCAGGGTTACAGATCAAACAAGTAGGAGGGTCACGATTTGAGCTAGGTCTGTTTATACCAAAGCCCCAAACTAACAGTTGTAACTTTTTTTGCTTTGGCCACTAGGGAGCTCAAAGTCACATGTGAGAGGATGTTTAACAATTGTACTAGTCGCCTACTAGACTCTGGCTTCACTCTAAGCTTCTGCTTTTCCTTGATTTCTTTACTCCTATGGTATTTTATCTGTTTTTGTAAATTGCCAGGTATCTTTTTTTTGCAACAAGGTGGCATATATCTAAATAAATACATGATGAAAAACTTGATTTAAAATCTTGACTAAGTGTTCTGCTTCCTCATCGTAATGCACATTTAATAACTTGAGAAAATATTTTAGGTCACTTGACTTTGTCTTTGTACAGTTCTTGGGGCCAGTTTTGAATAATGAACTAGCGCAGAATCTAACTCAGGTGTAAGTCAGACCCCTGCTGGCTCAGCTCCCACAACCCCCCCCCCCCGGTCCCTTGGGCCCGCTGCAGAGCGAGACCGCTGTTCACACTGGTCCCTGAGTCAGAGAATATGGGGCTGAGGGAGTAGTCAGAACAAGGGAAGATACTCCCAGGGGAGAAAGAGAGTCTTGTGGGGAGGACGCTGAGCATCTCCCACGTCTCCCCAGTTTCAGGGAATCACCGAGCCTCCGTGTTGGGTTTGCTTTTACCATCGTCAGGACTTTCTGGTTAATTCCTTTGACTTACTTAAAGAGGAGCTTTCTACACTTATTAAAAAATTCTTCCTTGTTGGCCCTCCCTGGTGGTGCAGCGGGTTAAAGCACAGCACTAAGAAGCTAAAGCCACTTCCGCGTGGGTTCGATCCCTGCCCTGGAGGTGACCACATGGCGTGGCAGACCTCTCCTGGCCTGCCCACTGCTCCCCTCAGCAGTGTACTTCACGATCTTCTTGTTCTTTTCCCCTACCTGTCTCTGGTGAATCCTCTCTCCCTCCACATTTTTGGCCTGTACCCCAGTTCTGTATGTACAAATAAATAAATCTTTAAAAAAAAATTCCTCCTTGTTAAAGGAAAAATACTACAATAGGAAAGTCAGTGATCCCCAATTCAAGGTGAGTTCCTGTGGATTACATCCCAGTGGATACCATGCCTGTGAGCCCCCCAACTGCCCTTGGTGGGAAAAGGGAGATAAGCAAGATCTCAGGGGACATAAAGGGTGAATTAGCAGCAAGAGACACACAGTCCTTGGTGCAATCAGAGGGCGGGGTGGCCAGCCTTCGCCAGTCCTCAGGTACTCGGAAGAGCTCTCTCAAACCACTGCTCGGTGACCTGGATTTAAAACCACCTCTCCAGGGGGTCCCCAGATGATGCAAGGGGTTAGGTCTGCACTGTGAAGCTCTCCGCAGATCCCAGGGAGTCACCCACAGGGCGCAGCAGACCTCTCCTGTCTCTCCGCTGCTCCCCTCAGCAGTGTGTTTCAGTGGGTCCACCCGTTCTGCTCCCCACTCTGTCTCAGGGGAATCCTCTCACCCCCCACCCCCACCCCTGCACCTCTGGCCTAGACGCCAGCTCCTGTATACGTAAATAAATCTTTTTTAAAAAACAGAAAACAACCTCTCCGGACACACACAGGCTACACACTCACACAGAGGCGTGTGTGCAAAGTCACCCTGCAACGTGGCCTGCCCTCCCCGACCTACCCCAACTGCAGCCCAGCCTCTGCAGAGCCGATGAGCTCTGTCCCTACGGCCCCTGGGGATGAGCAGGGTCCTATTCCCCACTGGACAGACTGGCCAGAAGCACAGGGCCACTCTACAGCCAGGGCTGAGGGACCAGGCCGCTCTCACCGCACAGGCCGGCCAGACAGCTGGGCCTCGGGTCACCTGAGCCCGAGCCCCCTCGCCCTTCACCAGCCCCCTCAGCCCTCTGCTGCCCCACCTTCCTGCCCTTGTATCACCAGCAGCTCCCTCTGCAGGGAACCTCCTCCTGGTGGCTCAGGTCTCAGCTAAAATGGCGCAGGGGGGATGCTGTCCCCCTAGGCAGAGTCTGAAGCTGGCCCCAGTCTCATGGCCTCTTGGCTCTTTGCTAGCAAGTCCTCACTAATTTACTAACTAGCGTCTGTCTCCCCTCACTGGCATCTGAATGGCATGAAAGCAGAGCCTGACCCCTACCACCAGGAGGCCCCAACATGTGTCCGAAAGACCGAAGGACACACAGCGCTGGCCCCGGGAGCGGCCTGGGCTCTGAGGCGCGCCCACGGGTGGGTTACGTTCCCTTACCTGTTCATGCAGTGTCTGACGAGAACCCACATAGGTGGGGTTGGACCCAGGTACAAACTTGGATCATTAAGTTTGGGGGACAGACGGGCTATTTCCAGGGGGCTCGGTCCTGCAGTTCTCCAAGAACAAGAAAAACCCGTTTTGGAGGGACCTGAGAGCCCACCCTGGTCTGGCCCCTACGGTGGGCACTCGGCTGCCGGCGGCCGTGGAGTTCCCCAGCGCTCACAGGAGAGGCTCTGCGCCCTGATTCGCATTCCAGGCAGCTCAGAGACCAAGAGGCCGCAGTTTCCAGTGGGCTCGGCTAACCCGGCTCACCTCTGACCCTCCCCCGGGAGGTGGGCAGCAACACCTGAGAGAACACGCAGGTTCGCGGCACGCTTGGGCTGTAAGCCCCGAGCGAGATGCTGGCCCACACGGCCATGTGGAAGGCTGGTGGGCGCTGGGCAACACTGGCTGGCTCAGGGGACCCGTGGGCATCTGGGGGTGGAGCCCCCAGTGTGTCTGGCTCCTGCATGTGGGCCTCAGCCTGCCCAGGACAGCCTGCGGGAGGAGGAGAGACCAGAGGCAGCCACACCTGTGGGGCCGGGACCTCCAGAGCAGGGAGCCGAGGGCTGCACGCCTTGCCAAGGAGCGTAAGCTACTCCCAGGTGCAGGAATCATGGAAGCCAACACCCCCAACCTGCCCATGCCAGAGAGAGACCGCTCTGCCTGTGAGACTTTCCGGCAGGGCTGCCCTAAAGTCGTGGTCGGGGGCCCTGCTTTGTACCGCACTGGTTAAAGTGCAGCACTAGGAGTCTGGCCGCAGCCTCTGCAGCATGAGTTCGATCCCCAGCCAGGGAGTGACCCACAGGGCGCAGCAGACCTCTCCTGTCTCCCCACTGCTCCCCTCAGCAGTGTATTTCATTCCATCTGCCTGTTCTGCTCCCCACTCTGTCTCTGGTCAATCCTCTCACTGCCCCTGCACCTCTGGCCTGTACCCCAGTTCTTGTGTGCATAAATAAACAAATCTTTACAAAAGTAATAAAATAAAATTTTGGTTGGGTGGGAAAGGAAGAAAGAGAGACTATTCACACCTGTCCACAGAAAGGACCAGGTGCAAGCAGGTGCTCCGTGCGGGGGCTGAGTCGCGACGGCCTGAGATCGGAAACACTGTCCAGATGTCACAAGCAAGGCCACGAGCGCACGGCTGCGAGTCCCGGGCTCAAGATCACACAGCTGGCCGTGCTCAGAGCAGCGCCGCCCTCTCCAAGTGTAGCTCCAGGCCCCATCCGAATCACTGGAGAGCTTAAGAAGGGCCGACGCCCAGGTCACCCTAGAATGGGCGCTGTAGTCTCTGGGGTGAGGACTGAGATGTGGGACGTTCTCTGGCGACGGTACCATGCTTTGGGATGGAGGCCCCTGCCCTCCCCCTCGGGCTGCTCAGGAAAAGCACCCCACGTGTGACGGGGGGGATGGATCCTCCATCCAAGCTGCCCCAGAGGAAGGAGCAGAGACGGCAGCCTCAGCCAGACTTGTCAGCCACTTTCCCAGTGGGCGCAGTATGGGCAGGGGGTGGGGGTGGGGCTGCAGGGCACAGGCACAGAGCTCCCTTTGCCCCTAGCAGTTCCCGCCATCCCCTGCCCACCCGTCTGAACTCTGCCCATATCTGGAGCCAGTCCCTCAACCCCCTTCATTCCTGCAGGGACCCCACGAGGCAGAACAGACAGGGCTTTCAGGGTGCGTGGCTGCTGAGGGGGTGAATGATTACCAGGCATGGTCTGCCCAAGTAGGGGTGGCATGTCACGTGCCAAAGGTTGGCTGGGCCCCTTGGCCGCGGGGCTCTCATTCCAGTGGTGCAAGGACAGACACTTTATTCTCTTCCACAGCAAGAGGCCTCTGGCCCTCAGCATCTGGGCAGCACCCCTCCGCCCCCCACCCACCCCCACCCAGGGGTCAGAGCCTTCCTTCTCCATGACCCAGGCAGAGCAGATTAGATAAGCGTGATTCAAAAGCCAAGTTTCCCAGGTTTTTTTAAGCCAGGAGTTTTATCAACAGGGAAAGTTACTGTTACCAAGATATGGGCCCCAACCTGCCTGGCTGTTCTGCATGAGGCCCTGCAGCTGGGACGAGCTTCTCCTGGAACAGTTGGGCTTTTGGAGCCAGACAGCC